GATCAGTTGGCGTCCGAAGTTGTCACTATCACTGAACAGCTTAATAATGGTCTAAGATATTATGAGCAAAACAAGTATTTCCTTTTCATTTTTTGATTTTCCTAGCGCTTCAGACTCTAGTCTTAACAACTTGGAGGGGGCATTCATATCCAAACTTGCGAATTTCTTGGTAGGCAAGTATAGAATGTGACTTTCTTTAGTCTGCGACACCGCATGCGTCTGAGTTAATGTACATGGAGTACCTCAAGGTCGCAGAATCGCAGTCGGTGCTAATAAAGGAGGTATCGCTAATATAATGCAGTTGTAACTTTGATAGGACGCGCGTAACGTAGCCCGATCACAACAGATTATGGAAGAAGTTCGGAAAGTCTATTGGGATGAAAGGATAAGTCTCATTCAGCTTCAGAAAATTATATCAGCTCATTGGGAAGTGTCATGGTCGCATATATCAGACATTCTTTTTGGTGCCACAAGTTTTAAGTCACATTCCGAAATTACGCAGTTGGTGAGAAACGGAATCGTTGTTATTTACCCTCTAGCTGATCAAACAATTTGCTGAATTGTGCGAATTATTCTTTGGGTTCTTAAGTAGAAATATCGGCGCGAGGGTACGTTTCTCTTCGTTTCGTATTGTTTTTCATGAAAATGCCTAAAATGTTCTGCAAACAGGCTCAAATCGAATCGACAAATGATGTCAAACTGCACCAATTTCTTCGAGAAATCATATTAACTCTAGAAGCGCTCCTTATATCGTTTTGTGATGCTGCTGCTGTGTCGCAAACTTCGAGTGCAGAAGTCCTTTTTACTTCTCTGTTTGAAGCGTTTTGGGTATGGGTTCGGGTGCCTCAACGCCGTTGTTTTCTCTAGGATTCATCATTTTTTTCAAGGAAAGAACTTTCTTTTCTCTCAACTTCCTGCCGGAAGTTTGTTGATAAGATCAGGTAAACGGTTGAGTGACATCAATAATCGTTGTCGTTGTAGGAATCTTCAGTGTCTCATCCTAATTAAAGCTGGTCGTCTTGACGATGTCAGTCTCTATGATCCCGGTGACGGAAAAAATGACCATTTTCTTCGAAAAAGTTGTAGTCGTCTTCTGGCCAGTGTTTCGAGCCTTAATATTACCCAAGGAAATGCTCCCTTGCTTTTGTTTGCTGCCGTCTGTGGTTCAGTTTTTGCGTCATCAACAGAAGAAATAAATAGGGCGAAAAATTACGCTACCATTGCAATTCGTGAATTAGATGTTTTTGACTACCTTTGTGACGTGCTATTCGAACTGAATTCGGCTCAAACGGTATGGCAGTCATTACTTTGAGTCCAAATTTTTTCTAACCTAGTTGTGGCCTTGTTATTTCAACTTTAGGTCAGACCAACTGTCTCTGCGTGGTCGAATTTCGATTTCCTTACTATACCCGAAAGCCTGAGTCTGGTTTGTTTTTCCAGTCATCTCGCTGTCTTTGATCTTGTCACCCTTCTCGCTTGTGAAGTTGCTTTAGACTCCCTTGAGGACTACCGAACTGTCTATACCCGTGTTCTGGCTAAAACTCTCTCCGTCGTTGTGCATTGTAGTGGAGTTATTAATAGTAAAGATGTCCAACCTGCAAGAATTGGTCAACGCATTGTTTCTATTATCGAGGACGTTGCCCAAAGTAGATCTCAGTAGTACATATATATTTGGTCTTTCTGTCAGGATTCCCAATTGACTTGGACTTGTTACACCTATGCACCTCACTACTTAACACTGGTATCAACAATGCAATCGCTCAAGACGAGGAGAGTGTGACAGATCTAGTGATTCAATTGATCTCAAGTGTGCCTTACTTCGCAGAGCGGTGTCAACCTGCAGTCCTCAAGGATTTCGTGCGCTTTCACGATCCAGTGGAAGAAGGTGAAGAAATGACCGTTAGTTTAGTGCGGCCGCGCTGGGCCCTCCCACCTGATGGAACTGCACCAATGCGGCATTTTTCGTACAGTAAGACCTCGGCGAATCAGTTGGCCGTCTCCATTCCTGCTGGCACTAGAGGCGTTCTCAGGCAAAGTGGGTACACTTTTAGTTGAGTGCCAGTTAATGTTTAAGTTATTGTCAATTATCTTTGCCACTGTTTTTGCAGACGCAACGATTGTCGTTTGGGAGCACGAATATTCTTTGTGGCCTGTGCTCAATGCTATTATAGTTTCGGCCGAGCAGTTCCTCTTTTTAGACCAAGTAGATCAGCAAGGCGATCTTCCCTCCAGACCCACTGCTCTTGAGATTTCAGTAGTAATTTCACGTCTTGTCTCCGTTCTGGATTTTGTTGATGTCTGCTTACTGGTAGGTTCTTGTTTTCATTATGCGCCTCAAGAACGGAATCGCTAGATTTTCTCTCCTCAGAAATTTGTGCATTTCGTGAATATTCTTGCGCATATTTTAAGTATTCTAAATTCATTGTAATATGTTAATTAGTTTATTTACATGCATTTAAATTTCCTGGCGATGAATTTTGACATAATGTAGCCCCTTCATTTTCCGAACCCTCAAGTGTCTTCCATGTCCTACTTGATGCTTTTCAAAATCAAATTTGAATTTCTCAATGTCGTTCACTTCTATTTCTTTTTTGTCACTTTCCTTTATTGACAGTTTTTGCATATTTTGTAGGCAAGAATCGAACCTGCACGGTGTTTGACGATTACGGAGTTATTATGGACTCTCGTTACCCGTATATTCACCGAGTCCTTGAGTGGAGAACGAGAAACTCCATTGGGAGATTTATTAGCAACTCTATCAGCCGATCGCCTCCTACCTTGCCTAATTCGTCTCACCGCTCATTCCCTCACGTTTGTACTACCCTCTGGTACAGAATGTGATCTTGTCCATGAATTTTCCAGCGGTGTCTTTCGCTATCTACAAGATGATCGCATACTCTTTCCTTCAGCAGTCATTCAATGCCCAAGTAGTAAAAAACAATCTACAGGAATGCCTACTTATACTCTGTCTGACTCTTGCCTTTTACGTATCATCTCAACATCGTCGACATCACCGTGGGCGGCTGATGTTCCCCCAACCACTGCTTACCGCCTCTTATCAGCATATTTAGACATGTCGTTGGGTCTCTTATCCGCAGAAAAGGCAGCATTATTCGCTGGCATGGAGTCTTGGTTTACTGAGAACTTGGAGGAGGAATCAATGGTTGATGGATGTCACAGTCCCCTCCTAGCCTGTCTCATTTTTTGTTATGATCTCCTCGCTGAGGTCGGTGGTGGTGACTCGCATAAGTTTATCATCCCCAAACTGCTTATGGGGTCTCCTGATACGAAATTGGGAATTTTGCATCTCGGTTAGCCTTTTTGTTGCTGCTGTAACCAATTGACCCAAGTTATTTCATAGGTTAATTGAACTTCTGACTACAAATTTGTCATTCCCTTAAAAGCATGATTTTTTATGAAGACCGCAAGATCTAAGTCTTGTTAATCTTTTTTTACTTATATCTCTGAAATTCGGACGATGATGTATACGTATGGGGCAATGTTGGTTGTATTTTAAGAGATGATTCTCTAATCTCACCTCCCAAATTTACAGTTACCAAAGCTCTACTTTTTTTCGTGGAGCTTCTTACCTCATACTCCCTGGAGAACGGTGACGGGTCTATGGGCACTGCGGACGAACAGAATCCACCGTCTCTGAATTTGAACTTTCCTCTCTTCCACTATCGTGACCTGTGTTCCTACGCACGTTGGCTTCTCGTTAACTCTGAGCCCCTTTTGAATTGTCTTGCCTCTCTCACAAAGGTGCCTGTTGAGTCACTTCGGACACCACTCCAATCCATCGACTTCGAGTGCGTTGATAGTACTTATCAGCGTTGGTCATGAGAAGTTTCAAGAGTATCGTGCGAGCATAGAATTGTTGATGCACAAATCATTTTCGATGACTGAACTTGTAATTGCAAAAAATGCAAATCAACCTCTATCGACTACTTTCTGCTTTAAATTCACTCTCATTCACTTTCAGTTTCCTTCTATTCTCTACTCGATCGGAGGAGAAGCAAATCGCCGGGGTCTCGGCCTTAGGCCAGTACCGAGTCCAATCGACATGGTTAGCAATTACACTTCTACACAACCTCTTTTCCAATCACTCCACGATATTACTGAAAATCTTCTCCGTCAATGACATCACGTCCAGTGCTTACTTCCTTTGCCTCCTCGACTTCCTTGATCCTACATGTCCTGTGGGACTGACCCGAGCTGCAGTCAGCCTCCTCAAGAAAATCACGCATGTAAGTCCAAACCCTCTTACACGTCATCGAAATCGTCTGCTCTTGAAACTTGAGCCTGTTTCAAAGGTGGTGTGAGTCGTATAACTATTTTATTTTACGATTACGAACATCATTTTACTTTTGCACACCTTGCCATCTCTCTTTCAGTTCTCTGAACGACTTGTAACGCCACACCTACATGACATTCAACCACGTCAACTGGGCTTTCTAGTCCACCGTATGCGCTCCACATCCGAGGACCAGGTCACGCGCACCGGTTTGTTTGATTGGTTGGCAGAGGCTGTGATGCATGATGTAATGAGTGGTGCGACTTGTCCACCATTTAACGGCCCAGGTTTTGGATTCCTCCGAATAATTTCATCAAACGCTGGCAAGGAAAATTTAGATGGCCTTCAGGGCATTGTTATCACTGCCTTGCAAGAGCTGAAGGTAAGCAATGTTAAGCACTTGACGCCTTGATCCCTTTACCTATTGAATCGGTATTTCAACATATGCATAGCAGCAGTATTTTATTATACATGTACTTATGACGCCTAGCAAAAACGCAACTTCATAAATGCCAATTGATGGAAAACTCTTCTGATCACTAGAAGGATCAAAATCTCGTCTCCATCAATCTTTACTGGGCCTTGCTGAAGTTGATTTCAGCAATATGGATGCAACCGAGTAATCCATTTCGTATCCAACTGCGCGAGGCGTAAGCACTTGCCTTCACTACTTGATCCCGTTCTCAACGTTTTCTTTGCAATGGTTTTCTCTTGCTCTCTCCTACAGCGCTTGTTTTTGGAATTGTCTCAGTGATCCTTTTTTCAACCACATGTCAGTGTTGAAGGAGTCTGAGGTTTGTTGTACTGTCCTTCTAGCCGTTCCGTTAATAGTTGTGTTGATGGTCTATAAAACGCTCTCTTCTTTGCCAGGCAAAATACTCAATTGTAGACCTGGAGATTTCTGGCAGCTACGCCACTGTTGTTGCAATTGAATTATTTGAGTCTCTTAGGTAGGTGATTTTTACGTCTATGTGTATTTGCCAATGAAATTAGCTAAGCTGAATTTTTTTGTCTCTGTAGGTTTACGAATACACCAGATGTTTCCTTCTTGGCAGTTTTTAAGCAGTTTGTGGAGCAGTTCCTTGAGTTTTGGCTACAGGTAAA